TTGGTGTATTTTTAGAATCTGAAGCTGCTTAGATGGTTCTTCCATGAGCACTATGTTCCAGATCTTCTCACACCATTCCTCCAGTGTCAAATTAGCAACTGCCTTCCAATTTTGATCTACAACTTGTCTGGCGGCTATCATAAAAACCCTAAACAAAAAGTTTTTCAAAAAGGTTTAATAATACTAGCCTTTGATCATAGGGAACCATTTGACCTGTAATAAGAGTTACTTTATGTATTTTTAAGCTCTAAAAACCTTGAACCTTCTTGCAGTTCCACCACAAATGGTAATAAGATCCTAGTCAGGGCTAGCCCGCCTGTGAGGTAACAATTCACCTGAACAAAAATGCTAACTTTATTAACAATAAATATTATTATAAATATTAATAATAATATTAATAATAATAATAATAATAATAATAATAATCCAAAGACAGGAGAACAAGAGTAGGATCAGGAGTAAGTGTCTGTACTCGAATAGCTGTAACTATGGAGAATATATTAAACCAAAAATACTATTAGCAACAGACATTCCCACCACATGTGCAGGAACATACCTATTAAATAACAGCCCCTCCAGTGAGAGTGTATGGTTAACCCTAGAAAGACGAAGAGAAGTCCAATGCCACATACAAATGACTTTCACTGAGGCTTCTGGCAGCCTAGCTCAAATTGTCCTTAGACGGGAGTTTGGAACAGATTTTGACCCAATCATACTCTTCAGTCTGGTGACCTAGGTCCTCTTCCCATACCACTGAGATTGTGGGAGTTACTCATAAGATCATCTATTAGTATTTTATCTATAGATGAGGCTACCCCCTTAGATTCCATATTTGGATGTATGCAGAGTGTCTCAAATGCTGTCAGGGATCTCAGCCTTTCACCAGTACAAACTAGCATCCTAGCAGACGAGTGTAATTGAAGCAATTGAATTCAATTAGTTTGGACATTGTTTAATTGTTTTACCAGATTATCCATAGCAATCAGCTGTCCTCCTGGGAAAATACCTTTCAGTTTTATTATACCAGCCTTTGCCCATTGTGGGAATTATTTATACTTGTCAGTAAAGTAAAACTGTGGGTGGTCTAGAATAGGAATGAGTGGCTAAAATGGAGGCCAATTATATATTACAGTATTGTGTTTGCTTACCATTCATCCTTTGTTATGTGCTCCTTTCTTCTCCTTTCCTTTTTTTGCCCTCCTCAATAGGAACATTTAGATTGTAAATGCCCTAGTCCAATACTTTGGCTTTTTTTTTTTTTTTTTTTTTTGCTTATAATATTCTGTAAAGTGCCATGTAAATTGATAGGATGTGCAAGCAGTACAACTAAACGTGTTGAGAAGGGGTGGGGCAGTGAAGACTTACTCGTTCTAGCTCTGAAATTCTAATCCTTTATCCTGGAGCAGGATCAAGCACTTATGCCTGAACACATTTATAAAAAGGTCCTTTTCAGTTCAGTTGTTTGCAGACAGTCACTTTGAACAACTCCCTTTTAATCTTCCATACATGGAAAACTTACGTTTTGTTTCAAAGCACTACCCTTTATCAGTTGAAGGCTGAATGTTACATACTTGCTTACAAAATATGGTTTATTTCATTCATATTATCACTAAAGCATATGAAAAAGGAGAACGCTTTGCCCATTGTGCACTAGAATGCATCTCTAAAGAGGTGCACATTGTTCTGAACAGACTGGACCTCAGCATCCCCTCCCAAAAACCTGTTTCTTAGACAGACACAGAAACACCTCTTTTTAGTAGGGAATGAACCTACTGTGTTTAGAACGTCACTGTGTTTAGAAATGTTTGGGCAATATAATTTAAAGCCCTATACTGTCTAGGACCCTCGTACCTACGGGACCGCCTCTCCTGGTATGTCCCACAGAGGAACTTACGGTCTTCAAACAAAAACATTCTGAAGGTCCCCGGCCACAGAGAGGTTAGGCTGGCCTCAACCAGAGCCAGGGCTTTTTCGGCTGTGGCTCCAATCTGGTGGAACGTTCTGTCACAAGAGACTAGGGCCCTGCGGGACTTGACATCTTTCCGCAGGGCCTGCAAGACAGAGCTGTTCCATCAGGCCTTTGGTCAGGGCACAGCCTGACTCCCTCCTTTGGCAATCTTCACAGAACTTTAGCCTAATGGTTGCCATCAATTTGAGTTGAATTAATTTTATAATGAAATGATTTTAGAATGTTGTACTATTTTATTGTTGTAAGCCGCCCTGAGCCCGGCTTCGGCTGGGGAGGGCGGGATATAAATAATAATAATAATAATAATAATAATAATTATTATTATCATCATCAGAACCAGTTAATTTCCACTGCACATTTCTACCAGTATCAAAAACGGTTCCATCAAATCACTTTTGTAGCATTAAATGCCCCTTGCTATATAAATATCTGTTGTGGTTTAGTCGTGTCCAACTCTTCGTGACCCCATGGACCAGAGCACACCAGGCACTCCTGTCTTCCACTGCCTCCCGCAGTTTGGTCAAACTAATGCTGGTAGCTTCGAGAACACTGTCCAACCATCTCGTCCTCTGTCATCCCCTTCTCCTTGTGCCCTCCATCTTTCCCAACATCAGGGTCTTTTCCAGGGAGTCTTCTCTTCTCATGAGGTGGCCAAAGTATTGGAGCCTCAGCTTCAGGATCTGTCCTTCCAGTGAGCACGCAGGGCTGATTTCCTTACTCAGAAGGAATCCCCACTGATTTCTGTAGGGCTTATTCGCAGATAGGTCTTGAAAGACTTCAGAGACCAAGAATTGAATTATCCGGTAAATTGCTGAATTTGGGTTGAGCAAATACTGTCAAGTTTTTCTGGGCAGTCTCTCATTCATCATGTGGATTCTATAATGTCCACAAGTAACTTGTTCTGTCTAGCTGCTTTTAAATTTAGTGTTAGTTTCTCTTTCATATAAATGATCAGTCACAGACACACTGCTTCTGCTGCAGCCTTTTAAAGTGGATTCTGATTTCCTTGAACAAAATATTCCTACTGACACCAGTTACTCTTAAATCCTGTGCCCCAATCTAGTTAAAATTGCTCATTTAAGCGCTATTTAATGCCCTCAGAACAACTGGCTGCCTATAATCCCTGTTGCTTTCACTGGACTGAGGATGCCATTCTAATGCATAGGTATGGGTGGGAAAGGAATTTTAGTTTGCATTTTAATGTAAAGCTGCTTAGCCTGTACTTCTGGAACCAATATGCAAACCAAAGCACAGCTATTCTTGCCAAACAAAAGATGCTTAAAAAATGCTTATTAGGGAAAATGCACACAGACAAGCGTGTTAGTGTGAATAACATATTAAAAATGCATTGCATTGCGGAAATTGCTTTCAGAGTATTAGGAGAAACATGTACAAAAGTGTGTACTAATTTTCACCTGGGTATGTTTTTGCAAGGTAGGGACACAGGTGGCGCTGTGGGTTGAACCACAGAGCCTAGGACTTGCCGATCAGAAGGTTGGCGGTTCGAATCCCCGCAACGGGGTGAGCTCCCGTTGTTTGGTCCCTGTTCCTGCCCACCTAGCAGTTCGAAAGCACATCAAAGTGCAAGTAGATAAATAGGTAGTGCTCCGGCAGGAAGGTAAACGGCATTTCCATGCACTGCTCTGGTTCTCCAGAAGCGGCTTAGTCATGCTGGCCACATGACCCGGAAGCTGTACGCCGGCTCCCTTGGCCAATAAAGCGAGATGAGCGCTGCAACCCCAGAGTCGTCCGCGACTGGACCTAATGGTCAGGGGTCCCTTTACCTTTACTATGTTTTTGAAACAGATGCAGAAATGGCATCAGCTTAAATACTGGGAAAGTGAGAAACAGATACTGTATTCATCCATTCCTACTAGAGGGTAAGAGTATTTAAACCAGGGGTGCCCAAACTTTTTTCAAAGAGGGCCAGATTTGATGAAGTGAACATGTGTGAGGGCATGCTCCTAAAATTGTTTTAGGGTTGAAGTTTCTGAACTATTTTTACGATTTTACCCCAAAGTTGTTGAGCTTCTTTTAGGATTTTACCCCAAGAGATAGACTGCTGCAGGGGCTGGATTAAACTGATCGGCGGGCCGGATTAGACCCCCGAAATGATCTTTGGGACATGCCTGATTTAAACACAGTGGGACTTACTTCTGAGTGAACAGGCATAGGATTGGAGCTACACATTGCAATGTTGTGCATGTTGACTCAGAAGTCAGTTCTGCTGTGTCCAGTGAAGTATGCACCCGAGTAATTGGGATTGCAGCTTAATTTTTTGAAGGTGAGAGAGTGCAATTGTTTCTTAAAATTGTGGCCTCCAAAATTGGATACACCAGGAGAGGCTGAGAAGTCCTGTCTCCCCATTTCTTTGATACATTGCTTTTTATCAATGTGAAATCATGGTCCAGGTGTGCATTTTCTAGCGCAAACTGATTCCTTAATAATTCTCAACCTCTGTAATAAAGAGGACACCACTTAGCACTAAGGTTGTGCAGCCATGAAGCAAGTGTTCTTAGACATGGAAGTGGCACTTCAAATAAAATCCAATGAAAGATAAACCGTGGCTGTGATCCTATATACTTACTTAGAAGCAAGGCCCATTGCATAGAAGGCCCAGATCTAGCAAAGAGGCCAGGAGTTACCTATCCTTTCTTTAGGTACAGCACACTCGTTTTACAACAGAGCAGCGCACGGAAACACCGTTTACCTTCCCGCCGGAGTGGTACCTATTTATCTACTTGCACTTTGACGTGCTTTCAAACTGCTAGGTTGGCAGGAGCAGGGACCGAGAAACAGGAGCTCACCCCGTCACGGGGATTCGAACCGCCGACCTTCTGATCGGCAAGCCCTACGCTCTGTGGTTTAACCCACAGTGCCACCCGCATCCCAAGTATGACTTTGCTCATCCTTAATTTGCTATCTTGCACAAGCCCTCCATTTTTCTCTTCTTCCCAGGCATTTTTTTAGCCTCCAGATTTAATTCTTAGCTATGTTTTACCACCGAGCTCTCACTTCACAAAATGCAAAGTCTCCTTGTAACATTTTCTTTTATTCAAGATAAAAACAAAAGCATGGTGATATTACAGACAGTACTACAGAAAACAAATCCATTGTGATTGTAAAGTGCATTTTTTCAGTTGTGTACAAAATATTTAAAAACATGCAAGGCACAGAAGCTAAAACCGAGGATGACAATTCCTCAGTTACATTCATATTGGCAATTGGAACCAGGAAGCCAGGAAGATGACTTTAAAAACAAAATGGCGGGGGAAGAGTTGAAATGAAAGGGGTTGTTTGGGAGAACCATTCCTAGTTTCCATTTCACAGTCTTGTCTCCAGTTGCTTGCCTGGCAAGTTACTTACAGACACCTTTAGCAGAGTCAGTAAAGTCCCCACCCATCTAGCTACACACATATATTATTTACAAGAATGTACTGTCCTGAAGTAGCTCCAAAGGAAGTAATTTAAGCCCTTGGGAGTTCAGCTTTATGGAAGAAATTGGATCCTAACTTTTCCAACAGTCTGATGGATTTATGTAGTGATCTTGCTGGAGCTCCTCAGTTCCAATACTTCTTCCCCATTTACTTCAGTCCTTGGTCCAGTTCCTACACATGGTCCCAGTATGTAGGTTTTACATGTAGTGGATCAAACAAGCAGGTCTTCAATCTGTAAGTTTAGCCCATGACTAGAGACCTGTAAGATTAAGCCTCACTCTTATACCCCAGCCTCATATAAAATCCAAATACTGGGACAGTGTGCGACTCAGACCCCTGGGTAAAGTAGCCTTCAATCAATCAAAGACTGGCGGATCTTCACAACTCAACTTTTCCACTTAATTCAAAACTGAACATCTAGGGACAGTTCTGGAAAAAAAAACCTGTTTGTGATTTTGCTGGTTTTTCCATGGATGACATCTACTCAGAAGTAAAGTGCAAAAACAGCATTATTTTCCCATGAGGAATTTAAGTATCTGGTAGAAACTGTTCCGTAAAAGATGAAACCATTTATTACAGGCTCTTGTAATCTTACCAGTTGCAATCCTAAGGTTGTATTTTAACTGTATTTCACTCATTCATTACGGTTTTAATCGCTGGGAAATAAATCCTTTCCTTCTATCACTCCGTTAAAGCTATCGCAACCATAGCAGTGAGCTGGATCGCTTTTTCTGTAACCGAAGAGAATAAATGAAGACATTGGAGCAGATTCAGCCACTCTCACTTCTCCCCAGAACATCCCAGTGCTACGGAAGTAGCTCCTTCCATTCTAGGTTAGTAAAGGAGGAGGTGGGTTGGTGGCTAGATAAGCATCAACTCTTAGGAAGCCAGATTCAGACCAAGTTACCCTGGCAGATTATTTTCTACTCTTTATGGGGGAGCAGATTTTTGGTTTTAAAAGCGCTAGCATCTGAGACCGCCTGGGTACTTAATGCTGACATTTCCAACATGCAGATGCTTATAAGCACAGTTCCAAGTAGGAATTCAGGTTCTGGCCATTAGTGGCACATTCATTAGGATCCTTTTCCATATTTAACAGCAAGCGGACATTCCAAGACAAAGTTCTTCTATTGTGTGCCAACCTAAAGCACACAGCATTGTATGGATGAATGTACTTTACAATTCAAGATGATCTGAGCAGTTTCATGTAACAGAATGCAAGAGGAACCAGTAGGGTTAGGTAGTTGGGCGCTTAGAAATCTCACCCAAGAGTCTTGCAATATTTCATCAGCAGATTATGGAGCTATAGCTCACGTAACAAAATTAACTTTCAGTCTGTCTTACTGTAACCTCATACTTCGGCAGAGATGGCTTAACTCATGTTTGCTTCACGACTGAGCCGCAATACTCCACAGATTCGTTTGTCTCATGTGTTTGGGTTGCGAATTCACTTGCAGCAGTCAAAAGCTCTTGTGAGCTGGGCTTGCACAGTACAAAGGGTGGAGGGAAGCTAAATGGCTTTCTTTAGTGTTCAAGTCACAACGTAGGGGCTTGGATCTAACAGTCCCCAATGGACCATGAAACATGGCTGTCTGCTGCAGCTATGTACTGTGAAGCTAGTGTGGAAATTAACAACCCAATCTTTCTTTCTTGCTTATAGAGAAGGCTCCACGGCCCTTGCTTCCTCCTGCCCTTCCTCCACTCTCCTTTCCTAGCCTACAGGAACATGCAAAACTGCCTCCTACTAGGTCAGGCCATTAGCTGCCTAGCTCTGTATGGTCAACACTGCCCAAAAGTGGCCCTCCAGGGTTTCAATCATAGTCTCTCCATGTCCTACCCAGGGTTTAAACCTGGGATTTTCTGCACGCAGAGAACACATGCTGTATCACTGATGTACAGTCTCTCCTGTGAGTGAGCAGTGGGGCAGGGATGTTGCACTGAACATAACGAATATTCCTCATACGAGTCGATAACCTTTATTTGATTTTGTCAGTAACACTCAATTTTATAAAATTAATGGGGATGGGGAAGTAGTAAAACAAAACAGTTATTTAACCAGACTATACCGAGCTCAAAAGAAATACATTTAAATAAAACGGTCATATGAAAAGTTATGTGTTCATAAAAAAATAGATATTTTTACTCTTTGCAGCCAACCCAAAGTAGTTGTTCAAGGCACATTAATAAGATCGCAGCCCCTCAACCTATGCTAACACACACGTTTTGCTCAGGGGCTACGAGATTATAACATGAATGACCTCCCAAAGACTCTCCAGCCTCAGCCATTGTTGAGAAGAACTTAAAACATACTGTTCTCGTCAAAAAAAAGGCAGAACAGTGAGTAAGCACCCTGGTATCTTCCCACAAATGAAGGCATTTCCTAAAATGGAAGGGAGCAGAGTCATAATACAAGCTAAAATTACAGCCACTTCTATTTGAAGGCCTTGGTCTCTTCCAGATCGGACAAAGTAGATAAGGGAAGATGCTAGCATAGCTCCCTCACAAGGCTGGATATTGTCTCCATAGTTCTTTGTCAAACATGGAATAGCTTTTTGGAGATGTGTACCCCAGCAGGGTTCCATAGCTCAACAGGTGAAGCATAGGCAAACATTTCTCTGTACGGCTTGCAATACTGTGGTGAACCTCAAAACATGTCAGCAGAACTGCTTGGACTGAAGCAGTGAAAGCTGAACTGGACTTGGGAGACTTGGCAGCGTTAGTTCTTAAGACAGCAAAGAGATCTCCCCTTTTCTAGCTGTTTAAATTCATTACATCCAGGATGATGCAAAGAGCACCTGTTTTTAAAAACCATCTGCAGTCAGGAGTTTCACAAGTCCTTTAGTTTCAGTTTCTGCCAACTCATGCAAGCCTCCTTTCTCAACTGTGCCCTTGCAGCAAACTCCCAGACGTTTGCTGAGCAGGATGTTTGCAAATACAGAGCCCAGATCCTTCATTCAGTAATAAGGCCCGCGTTTCTCATACCCTGAGTAGCTGGGCCATTCAGGAAACAGGCCGTAGGAACACCGGGGGCTTCCAAACTGGTCAAAGGCAATCCCAAAGCCAGGTCCGCCCTGCGGCTGAGAAATCTCCCGGGCAGATTTGAGTTCAGACCGGATGATCCTGTAGTTGAGGCCTTTGTTGCTGTCCCAGTATACCTTGCCATCACACTCATAACACACAGCAAACTCTATTCTTTCATGGGGCTGAACTCTCTCGGGCAAGCTGACCTCGAAGGAGAACGTGTCCTTATCTGAACCTGCGTACGTGTCCTTAACATACTGGCATGGGTAGTCTGTGAAGGTTTTCCAGGTGTCAAATGTCACCCGGATCTTCACAGCCTTCTCAAATGCAAGATTCCTGACTTTCACGGTGCCGATGATGGCTTTATCTTTCAGCATGCAGTTTTCAAGGCAGACGTAGTCGGCTTGGAGGCGATTCCGGAAGTCCAAATAATCTGCAGAAGGCTGTACGAAATCCAAGACAAAGTCGTCTCTGTCCACGGTCGTCAGGCCCACAATGTTGTCTATTAGTTCCGTGATATTAAATGGGATCTCCAACGGCTCGTCAAACTGGGAGAACACTTTAACGACCGTGAGAGACAAGCCCCTGCTGTCCGCAAAGGAAACCCTCTTCTTCACCCGGTTGCTCTGCAGCGCTTTGACTTCCTCCCCCAGTTCGTTTAGCTGGGTGTGGCTGTTCAAATGGATGCAAGGCCGCAAAGGCGTCTTCGGCTTCGGAGCAATTTTGCAGGCAAAACTCTCCCTTCGCAAGTAGGGCGTGCGCAGGTAGACCTGCATGGCTACATCCACTGCCATTGTGGGCTTGTGAGGAAAGGAGTCCAATATTCTGAAGAAGAAGGAGGAAGAAAACAAAGACTGGTCAATAATCAGAGGGCCATTTCACATCTCAAGCAGCTACAAAACCCAGGTTTTATATGCAAGGACTCTCCTATTGGATCTGACTAGGCTTATTTAGTCCAGCATCATCATCAACCTTTATTAGGGTCCAGAGACCCAACCCATCCTTACAAAGCAATACACAATTCATACAGCCTACCTCCAGGTTAAACAAGCATTTTGTTCGGAATTAAAGATAGGGATCATTGGTTATTGCAACCACCGATAAAAACTTTGCCACTGCTAATGTTCTAGCGTTTGTCCGGTCTTCCAATAGGAACCTGACATAGTGAGCCTCTAGATTTTCCCGGGAAAGGTACCAGCAAGGGTAATATTAGTTCAGCCCTGGCTTGCTCATATTTTGCACAGTGCAAAAAAATATGTTTTATGGAATCGATGTCTTGAGCACACGAGCAAAGTCTGTCCTAGTAGAGAACTCCTCTCAACCTGCCATCCAACACTGCAGAAGGAAAGATGTTTAGTCTGGCTTTGGTGAAAAGCCTTCGATAATTTGGTACTGTCAGGTTTTTAATGTAAGATGTTAACTTAAAGACATGCCCATATTGTACTCCTATTGCCAGCGGACTACAGACTGCGTGTGATCGAGATCGCAAGTCACTGTGTGCATTATCCCATATCCCATAAGGTTTTCTGCCATTTGCTAAAAAAGCCACCTCTATTGGTTTGTCACCCCCCCAACTGTATTACCTGGGTTATGAAGGTGCCCTAAAGACGTTGAAGCAAATATTATGGGATAATGCAGCATTCTGCTCCCACAGTGGCCAACCAAGTGCTTATGGGATAGCCACGAACGGGATGTGACCACAATGACACTCTCCCACATCAATACATTATATGGTACTGTACTCCATCGTTTAACTATGAGCTGTTTAAAGTGATACTTCCTCTTAGGTGTCTTTAATCTCCCAAAATGCAGCTTCATTGGTTGACCCTAGCTTCTAGTTTTCAACAGCATTCCAGAACCAATCCCAGTTCTCCATGATACACACATCTTTGCAAAACGTGTTTGCCACATTCACAATTTATATCTTTAGCTCGATGGCATTGCTTCAGGGTTGTGTATTTCGTTTTGATGGGAGATTTAGCCTAAAAAGTTCAAAAACCTTAAATAGAGTTTTAAAATGCCTGAATCCACAGCCCTCACATGTAGAGCAATCCAAAGCATGCTTATTCAGAAGAAAGTCCTACAAATTTCAATCAGTTTGCTCCAAGGTACGTGCGCATAGGATAGTAGCCTTAGTCACCAAGTAAGTGATCTTGGCCAACATCCTTGGTACAGAGAAACAGAAATTCCACAACTGCCTCATGCAGATTTAAAATTATGCAACAGAAGAGGTATATGGGTTGCATAATGAAAAGCATTCCAATCTGAATACCTGCAAACCAACACATTTTGACTGCTTTTGCAATCAGCTGGCTCGGATATATGTTCAGAAGAATGCAAATTATCAAACAGAGAAAACTGGTTTCAAAACACATTTCCTACATCACCCCCTGTGACAATTTAGAACTTTGTTTAAATTACAGTGGTACCTCGGTTTCCGAACCGGTTTTCAAACACCGAAAACCTGGAAGTAAATGCTTCCATTTCCGAATGCACCTCGGAAGTCGAACAGTTTCCACTGAGTGTTCCTCAATTTTCTCAATTAAATTTGCACACCGCCCTTTGTGCCTCGGTTTTTGAACGTTTCAGAACTCGAACGGTCTTCCGAAACAGATTATGTTCGAAAACAGAGGTACCACTGTAATCAATTTGAATATTCTTTTTAAAATTTCAACCAAACCATGTTGATGACAAGTGTACTAATTTAACAACGATGCTCCTCCCATCATGTAGAAATATGCATTTTCAGATGCAGTGATTCCAATGCAAAATTTCAACAGAGAAGATCCATAGTTCAGATTCCTGCTCCATCCTAACAGTCTTCTACTTCACATGAACACATTTATCAGCCCTCGTCCTTCTCTGCACCAGACAACCCCAGAAATATATAATAGTTTATATTTATTTTAAGCAGTCTAATGGAGGAACAACTCTTCCTCTAAATGGTGTTTCCCAAACTTGGGTCTCCAGCTGTGTTTGGACTACAACTCCCATCATCCCTAGCTAGCAGGACCAGTGGTCAGGGGTGATGGGAATGGTAGTCCAAAACCAGCTGGAGACCCATGTTTGAGAAACACCAAGTCTCACTTGAAAGCATTCTCAAAAAGCAAACGCAGGGACACATTCATCACCATGCTCACCCAGGAACCCAGAAGTTGCTGGACGGAAACCACATTGCAATCTGAAATGCTGGTATCCCAACAAGGGCACAGATTGGTTCGGGCAGCTGAATGAAGTGCAACTTGTACACTGTCTCTAATAAAGCTTCTTTATGCAGCAAATTTGCCCCACCCACAAGTACTGGAAACTTTCCTTGGAAGTGTAGAAACAGGAAGTGGCACGTTGATTAAGCAGCAGTGACAGACTCTATTGGATTCATTGCTGGAAAGGAAGCCGCAGCAGACGTGCGACCGGAACTAGCATTAGCAAGTTCGGTCAGCGGCCAAACCAGTATTGAGACATTTCACGAATTTGAACTTCTTGTAACAGTTTGAAGAAATGGCCCAAATCCAAGAATGAGTGACAAAAAAGGTTAAAAGAACCACCACAAACGTAAAGACAGACTGGAAAGTACAGTGGTACCTTGGGTTACAGACGCTTCAGGTTACATACGCTTCAGGTTACAGACTCCGCTAACCCAGAAATAGTACCTCGGGTTAAGAACTTTGCTTCAGGATGAGAACAGAAATCGTGCTCCGGCGGCGCGGCAGAAGCAGGCCCCATTAGCTAAAGTGGTGCTTCAGGTTAAGAACAGTTTCAGGTTAAGAACGGACCTCCGGAACGAATTAAGTACTTAACCTGAGGTACCACTGTAATGTATTTCCTGCTATGCATGCTACAACTTCCTATGCCTAATTGAGTAATAAATTAGCTAGGTGATGCTTAGTGCAAAGTTTAACATTTGACCAGTTTCAAATATTCTGGACCTCAAATGAGTGTAAATCTTGGGTTGGAAGACTAGAATCTATGGCGCAGGAGCAACTATCCCTTATTTTGCCATGCACTAGTCAGCTTTTCCTAAGACGGTGCCCTCCAGACCCTGCTGGAACCATAACTCCCATAATCCCTGACCACTGACCATGCTATTTGGGGCTGGTTGCTGTCATCCAGGATATCTGGAGGGCACAAAGTCAGGAAGGCTGAGCTATGGGTTTGGAATAAACCGTCTCTAGGTTTCCATTCAGTTTATGCACGCACACCCACCCACAAATTTTCTCAGTGACCAAGTTTCAACGTTGCCAACTTATAACAGAAAACACTGCAATAAGAAGGTAGTAGTCTAAACCAGGGGTGAGAAGTCTGTGAGCCGCCAGATCAGTGTTTCCCAAACTTGGGTATCCACCTGTTTAGGGACTACAATTCCCATCATCCCTGACCACTGGGTCCTGCTAGCTAGGGATGATGGGAGATGTAGTCCAGCAACATCTGAAGGTCCACAGGCTTACTCACCATTCGTAGTCTAGAAAACAAGGTAAAAAGGTAAAGGGACCCCTGACCATTAGGGCCAGTTGTGGCAGACTCTGGGGTTGCGGCGCTCATCTCGCTTTATTGGCCGAGGGAGCCGGCGTACAGCTTCCGGGTCATGTGGCCAGCATGACTAAGCCGCTTCTGGCGAACCAGAGCAGCACACGGAAATGCCGTTTACCTTCCCACCAGAGTGGTACCTATTTATCTATTTGCACATTGACGTGCTTTCAAACTGCTAGGTTGGCAGGAGCAGGGACCGAGCAACGGGAGCTCACCCCGTCACGGGGATTCGAACCGCTGACCTTCAGATCAGCAAGTCCTAGGCTCTGTGGTTTAACCCACAGCGCCACCCGTGTCCTTTAGAAACACTTAAGCTGAACAAATTTAAGTTTCGCAGTTAACCACAGAAGTCCCTGCACATTTTTTGTTAACCAATTCTGCTAATTTATCATTCCAGATGGTGAGATTATTGCAAATAGGAAGCTCTCCCCATATATGCAATTCTGACTAAAGTGCACACTGATTCAGCCAACAGATAAAATTATATCTGACAAACATGAGACAACACCCATTTTGTGGATAAGCAAAGCAATCTCTGTTTCTGCTCAGACTTATACTGTCTAGATACCTTTCACAACTTGGTCTCAGAGTAAAGCCCATATATACCATAACATTGTGGAGCAAGGGTTACCTATACAACTACTGTGTATATTTGTTTGGGAAGCAGTTTTCAAACAGCATTCTTGGTAGATAATGGTAGCCACATGACCCGGAAGCTGTACGCCGGCTCCCTCGGCCAATAAAGCGAGATGAGCGCCGCAACCCCAGAGTCGGCCACAACTGGACCTAATGGTCAGGGGTCCCTTTACCTTTACTAACATGAATACCCAACACAAACAGCATGCTCTTCTCCAGAACATGATCCAGAATCCTTTGCAACATACAACAGATGCTCAAAGGTCCCTCAGCAGACATGCCAATGTGGAAATGGTTCTCTAAAGATAACAAAGTTTGACAGCCATCGTGTTCCGAAATTCCTATATGAAAATCCACTTGTCTGCACTTAACCCAAAGCATATCAAAATGGGATGAACTACTCCAAGGAACTTCAACAGAGGGGGACTGTAACATGAAACTACTGAACTGCAATACATCAAACCATCTGAATGGGAAGAACTACTCAAGATAAAGGAATCGGATGACGCCATGGCCTTTGGCTCGTGCAATAAAAGTTTACGATGGTGATGATAAAGGAACTTTGTAGGGAGATTGCTTCAAGAAGTTCAATCATTTGAACTGCCATTATTTATGGACTGAACATGATTTTTAGGACATTATTTATGTTAACGGGCTGTGCCAGCATGCCTGTGTACCCAGCAGCTGTTTTTGTGAATTACCACCATTAAGGACATAATTATCACTGTGTGTCCTTTGCTGCATTTCATTCCCAACCCAAAAACTGCTCTTTACCCACTTCATGCATCTGATGAAGTGGACCACAATCCAGGGAAGCTTATGCAGTAATAAATGTGTTAAGTCTTTAAAGTGCCACAAGACTTTTTGTTTGAGAGACAATGTGCCAGACCTGTTTCAGATACCTGTTATCAGCATGCCAGGTATTAGCAGTTCTGTTGTCACGCAGATAGCCCCTGACAAAACACCAGTCAACCTCTATGGGACAATTCCTTCCTCCAACACTTAAAAGAGTGGCAGAGCATTTCCTGGTAGGACTGAGCGTGTCCTCTGCCTGAGAGTCTGCAAAGCTGCTTCCACTTCCATATTCGCCCAGTGCTTTTCCAGTACAGGGTCAGATTTAAGGTGCTGCTTTTGACCTTTAAAGCCCTTCACGGCCTAAGACCCTTGTACCTACAGGACCGCCTCTCCCGGTATGCCCCATGGAGAGCCTCAAGGTCCATAAATAGCAACACCCTAGTGGTCACAGGCCCTAAGGAAGTTAGTTTAGCCTCAACCAGAGCCAGGGCCTTCTCAACACTGGCTCCGGCCTGGTGGAACGCTCTGCCTCATGAGACCAGGGCCCTGCAGGATCGGATTTCTTTCCGCAGGGCCTGTAAGACAGGGTTGTTCCGCCTGGCCTTTGGCTTGGAGCCAATTTGATTCCCTCCCCCTCTTTCTTTTTCATTTCTCCTCCTGTGATGAGGCTGCATTTTAATATTTTAATGTTGTATTTTAATCTGGTTTTTAAGTTGTATTCATTCAACTTGTTTTTGTTATTACTTGTTAGCTGCCCTGAGCCCGGCCTTGGCTGGGGAGGGCGGGGTATAAATAAAAATTATTATTATTATTAAATACTTAGCTAGATGGATCCAGCTTCCTAAGAACTCATCACAGTTCTGACCAATTCGAAATCCTAAAAGACAGATTTTCTTTTGTTCAAAAAGTCACATGCTGCATGATTTCAGGAACCATGTGTCAAAACGAAACCCTCATTTAATAAGATTGATGTCTAACAAGGAAGAACCACATCAGAAATTCCCTGTTTGGAATCTAGTTTAGCAGATGTTGGGGAAAGAAGTCAGTTTTGGCCTCTTGCCTATTTGCAAACTGATAATTTTTTTTGCTGGAATTCAAGTGTCATGCCCCAACTGCAGTTACAAAGTCGGCTACTTTAAGAACAGGATGTTGGCCAAGATAGGCCTGATTTTCTTAAATACTCTCTCCAAACTAAGTCAGAGCTAGCATGCTAGTTTTGCATCTATTTCCCAATATGCCCAGTTTCACATCCTACTCATTAATAAGTCTAAGCAAATTGCTTTGTTACAAGTAACTCCCAGATGAAGCGTGAAGGTTCTGCTGCGATTCAAGCTTTGGAAGGATAAAGCCCTTGAGAGATTTCTGTTGAGAGTCACAAGTACAAAGCTTCCTATGGGACGTATTAGAGCTGAGTTTGCTGAGGTTTTTCACAACTAAAGGATGTCAAAATCTGAAACCAAACTTATTAGTCTGGGGTTCACTGTGCAAGTCCAGGTTTCAAAACACAGGCACTTAAATATTTAAATATGGATTTTAATGTATACTGCCCTTAACTCCATTGAAGGAAAGCATATAAATGTATATAAAAAGAGAGGGTAGCACATTAGCATGGTCAGTTTTTTATTAAAATCACTTTGAATTACACTGAAATTAAGGCCAACTCTAGCAGTCCAAGTTAGCAATTAGTATCACAGTGCAAGCTTAATTCATGATAGCACTTAAGAGGACTTTCAAAATGGACTTCACAAATTCAGTAAGAATAGATTAACCAATAGCTATCATCGTATGGAATCAAAGAATTGTAGAATTGGAAGGGATACAGGGGGCCATCTAGTCCAACCCCCTGCAATAGCTATATGAAACTGCCACATTCAGAGGCAGTATATATCTGAATACCAGATATGGCATAAAAAGACCAACAAGGAAAGTAGTTAACTGACTGAGAGTTTCCTAAGGCTGGCCACTGTTTAAAACACGAAACTAGATGGATCTTTGACCTGTCTACGGAAGGCCATTTTTATATAATCTTCTAACTGCTTCAAGCCATTAAAAAAAATACAAACAATATTATCAGCTACAATAGTGCTTCCAACAATATTGGGAGAGCCAAAATCAGGTTCGTTTGTTTTCATTCCTTTTTTGCTGTGAATGAAATGACAGCAGACTTATTTCTCCAATTTAGAAAAATGTTTCCTGAATGACCTTAATCTGACCCAGCCACCAGACTTCTGCTTATTCTCACCTGCATCACTTACTGCAAATCCATTTGTCCATGTCCTTTACGATGCAGATGCAACTGCTCATTTTTCTATAACCTTAAAGACACAGGCACTGCAGGTTGCACAACAACTCCATACCTGATGAAATTCCCTGTTCTACACAGCTATTGAAACTGCAGGAGCCTTTTTCATCTAGCCATCCTAGGTAGGATGTGGGTTTTGCTCCAGTCTCCTGGTGCACTCTTTTTATGTATGGGCATGATGAAGCCTATCTATGCTCCATCAGAAACCCTCCAACACAGAGAACAAAAGCCACGCTCCTAGACTTCTGAAACTGTAAAAGGTAAAGGGACTCCTGACCATTAGGTCCAGTCGTGACCGACTCTGGGGTTGCAGTGCTCATCTCACTTTATTGGCCAAGGGAGCCGGCATTCAGCTTCCGGGTCATGTGACCAGCATGACTAAGCCACTTCTGGCGAACCAGAGCAGAACACGGAAACGCCGTTTACCTTCCTGCCGGAGCGGTACCTATTTATCTACTTACACTTTGACGTGCTTTCGAACTGCTAGGTTGGCAAAAGCAGGGACCGAGAAACGGGAGCTCACCCCGTCATGGGAATTCGAACCGCCGACTTTCTGATCGGCAAGTCCTAGGCTCTGTGGTTTAACCCACAGCGCCACCCGCGTCCCATCATCCAAATGAGACATAAGCATACGACAGAGATGTGCAGCCTGATCCGATGCATGGTTACAAGGTAGAAATGTCCCACATGCATAGGCTATCAATGGCTACTAAACACGATTGATTGCTATGTTCTACCTCCACTGTATAACAGTTGTTTATTGAGAACTGCAAGTCGGGAGATTACTATTGCACTCATGTCCTGTTTGCAATCTTCTATCTGCCTTTGGTTGCACAGCTTGAGGGGAAGGTGCTGGTCTACGCTGGCCCTCTGACCTGCTCCAGCAGGATTCTTCTAATGCTTTTAGGATCTTGAGCCTTAAATTGATACAATAATTGCTGCTGCTTCCCAGGGAACTGTACTTCTAGAAATAGGGATTATCAAAGTTCTCAGCAGAGTATAACCCTCAAAATTATTTGGGGGCAATTTATGACACATCCAAAACTGCTACCAATATCATTCAATTCTATTCCTGACCCTGCAATGGCTTTTACAGCCTGCAATCCTAAACCCATTCAACCTGGAAGTATACCTGATTGAATTCAACAGGAGCCTGCTTACTTTTCAGTAGACGCTACAAAATTGTGCTGTTAAGTGAGCTTAGAAAAGCAGGGAAATGGATACTGAAAGGGTTCCTCCTATGTGCAAATAAAGTAAAATAATATATAGTATTATGTTTTACATACCTCATAAGGACGAAGGTGGTTAGCTGTAAAGATGCAAGATGATCTGGGCTGGAGGTGCACCCAGATTTCACAAGGCACAGCAGCTATAGATTCATTGCCTGGAAACAGCAGGACAAGGCAGGATTAGCAGAGCTCCAAAATTAATGCCAGGCCCCACCCCTTCCTCCTCCTCTACATTCATGCCAACAAGGCAACCACCTTCCAAGTTCTACAGAGATCAAAGATATAGGCAGAGGCACCTCTATTCATATTCACACACACCCTTGAACACCTTCACACAGGAGTGGATTCAGAGAGGAAATGTGTCTAGAGATTATAGGCTAAATTCCTAGGCAAACTTCAAAGCCCGGCTGAATTCAATAGGACTTTCTGAGCATTAAGTGTTAGAGGGCTTTCAATAATCTCAAAGCAGGGGACAAACGCCACCTCCCACCTCGTTTTTTTCAAGTTGCTTGGATTCAGGCAAAAGCAGGCATTATAAAATATTGTAAGCCAATCTGCACCATTTAAAAAAAGAAAAGCAACCTTTGCTACAGAAATTATCTCCGGCAGGTGCGCTTCTTCGAAGATAAACCATTCCCAGCCCCGGTTTAAATTTTAAAGGTCCTCTCAGGCATGACTCATGCCTCCCGATGGAGCAAGCTGTTGTCAGATCGGGTCATCTCTACCCTATAAGGGGAATCCTAAGAGGGGAGTCGAAAGAGACTCCAGGTTCGCGCCTTGTAAGGCCGCTTTTGTTCGACGACGGCTCACCTTTAGCTCCACTGTGAAAGCAAGTTCGGCGCTCTCATTTCCCGTTTGTTATTTTAAAAAAGGACTGAATCCAAAGCGGAAAACGAGAAGAGCGCACAACGAAGCAGAGTCCCACTCCCCGCTTTCAAAACTGCCTCGCCAGGTGCGCAGCGCCTTCGCCTCGGGGGAATCTCTCTCTTTTCGTGGCTCAGGGAGCTGCAAGGCTGGATCCGGCTCGGGCTGAAAAGATGCTTCCTTGTAGCCCCGATTTCAACCGGACTTGCTCTCTTCCAAGTTGCGCGCAAGCCTATTGCGCTTCCTCGGAATCCACACCGTGGCAACTCCCTTGCGCACCCACCCACCCACCACTCAGCAAGCGCGCACAGGATCTCCGCAGCCAATTCCTGCGCGCGGTTACGCGGAAACCAAGTCCCTTCTCTGCATAGCATTACGCTACTTAGGCAATATATTTTTTAAATGCATTCCTGACCTGGCTCGCTTGGGGGCCGACCTCGGAAGCAAACGCTGGGCAATGAGAGAGAGCGCCCTCCCTGCGCACCTGGTTCGCCCCATTTCCCCGCCCCGCCCCATACCTGGAGCCGCAGGGCCGCGCACCAGCTTCCCGGGCTTGCAGCAGCTTCACAGGCCGTCCCAATTCGGCTCGGCTGCCCTGCGCGGAGGCGCCCTGCCCTCCTTCCTCGGCCCAGGCCATTCGGTCCCTGCGCGCACGCGAAGCGAGCGCCCCCTCTGCTCCCTTAAGAGCGGCCCGTTCGGCGGCGAGCAGCCCCGGCAGGGGAGGAAGCAGCGGCGCGGCCAATGGCCGGCCTCTTCACCCGCCCTGCGCCAGCCAATGGCGGCGCAGCTTCCCCGTGAGAGACCAGGAGGATGGCGCGTGGACGCCGGGCGGGCGGGCTGGCGGGGAGGGGGCGGCAAGTGATAGCGCGCATCTGGAGCGCACGGGGGCCGGGAATGGGATGGAGCGTGGAGGGAGGCCTGGGGCAAGCGGCCCACTTCCACCCCAGCCCCGTGCGCGTTTTAGGGCCTTCTCTCAGACGGAGGCGTCGCTCTTGGCGCCCTAGGCCTCCTTTTCCTAATAAGCGCAACATACTAAACGCATTTCCTTTCCCCAACTGGACGCAGAACAATAATCCTGGGAACCGTGGTTTGCTCAGGGTGCCTGGAACATGTAGCTCTGGGTGGGACAAGCTAAACGTTCTCGAAAATGTGTGGCGCTTGAGTTGTGCGACCCTTTTGGAAGTTAAAAAGTCCCCTCAGGATTCCCTGAAGGAAAGTTGTTGTTGTTTAGAAAGTACCTGTGTCAAATATATAGTGCCTTTGCAGACAGTGTTTCCCAAACTTGGGTCTCCAGTTGCTTGTGGTTGGTGGATTTTTTTGGGGGGGGACTACAATTCCCATCATCCCTGACCATTGGTCATGCTAAAGGTAAAGGGACCCCTGACCGTTAGGTCCAGTTGTGGCTGACTCTGGGGTTGCGGTGCTCATCTCGCTTTATTGGCTGAGGGAGCTGGCGTACAGCTTCCAGGTCATGTGGGCAGCATGACTAAGCCGCTTCTGGCGAACCAGAGCAGCGCACGGAAATGCCGTTTACCTTCCCGCCGGAGCGGTACCTATTTATCTACTGCACTTGACGTGCTTTCAAACTGCTAGGTTGGCAGGAGCAGGGACCGAGCAATGGGAGCTCATCCCGTCGCGGGGATTCGAACCGCCGACCTTCTGATTGGCAAGTCCTAGGCTCGGTGGTTTAACCCACAGCGCCACCCGTGTCCCTAGGAATTAATGGGAGTTGTAGTCCAAAAACAGTGGGAGACTCAAGTTTGGGACACAGTGAGCCAGAGTGTGACCCTGCATGGGAGTTTCATAGCAAGTACTTGTTTTTCGTTGTAAAGGTAAAAAAAGGTAAAGGACCCCTGGATGGTTGATATCCCAGCACACATGGGTCTCTTTCCAGGACAGCTTTTATTCTCCCAATAATCTTGTGAGGTGGGTTTCTCTGGGAGTGGACCAAAGTCACCCTGTGAGCTTTTCCCCCAACCCAGTGTTTTTAGCTGTTCCTGTTTTATCTGTAAACTGCCTTGAGTCTCTGTCAGGGAAAAAGGCAGGGTATAAATGTATAATAAAAATGTATAGGTGGGGAAGGATTCAAACCTGGGTGTTCCCAATCCTAGTCTTGACATTCTAGTTTAAGTATGGGCAAAAGGCTATAATAGAGATAATAAAGCATGGAATCGGCCACATCTGCCTCTGCCACAATTTAGGAGGGAGGGATAAAATTACCAGTAATCTTTTGTCACAAGCAGTAAAGTATTTTGAGCTAGACCTGACTGAGGATTGTTTTCACATCCCACCTGGAATAGCTCAGTCGATCAAGCATGAGACTCAATCTTAGGGTAGTGGGTTCATGCGCCACGTTGGGCAAACGATTATTTCATTGCCCAGGGAACTGGCAGGACTAGATAGCCCTCGTGGTCTCTTCCCACTCTACAATTCTATGATTCTGTATACCCAGAAAGCATTGTAAATAACTGCCCAGGGGCCAGATGTCTGATAAGATAGTGACCACAATACTTGCCAAGAAGAAAGACAGTTGAGTGCTAGATAAATTTGGTGTAGCTGACTGTAAATATTTAGGGGTTTGTGTGAATTCCAGGCTCATGCACCTAATGCCAACCCATATAAGTGCCATCAGTTTGCATTGATCCCTGTTCTGAGGAGCTACAATGATTTGGTGTGAAAACATCTGAAAACGACCAATAGACTACAAAGTTTTTCAGGCAAGGATTGCACCAGAGTGGAAGGCAAATAGAAGCTGATCTTGTCAACAAAGTGTAGGATGGATGGGTCAAGAAGCATGCCAAGATCAGAAGCAAGGAGACAACCTTTGGAGTAAGCGGGGAGGCGGGGAGAGGGGGAGAGAGAGAGGGCAAGAGCTGCAGACAGGAAAAACAGGACAAATTTCTGGAAACAGGGCTGGCCTGGCCTTACCATTTGGCAGAGTAAGGTGGCTGCCTCAGGCGGCAGATGCTGGCGGGTGGCAAGTGGTGGCAAGTTGTTGCAGGACAGAGCTGTGTGTGCTGTGCAGCCTGCCCTGTATCCCCTAAGGTAACCTGCTGCCCTCATGTGGTATAGGATTCTGTCCCATCACCAGTGTTGAAATAAGATTGCAGTATTATTATTAATTACGTTTGTATACCGCCCTTCATCCAAAGATCTCAGGGCGGTTCACAGCATAAAATACAAAAAAACCCCACAAAATAATTAATAGAAACAAAAACAAAGCAATAACACACTCCAAAAATAAACACATTTAAAGGGCTGGGTTGAAGAGGAACGTTTTTGCGTGGCGCTGTGGGTTAAACCACAGAGCCTAGGACTTGCCGATCAGAAGGTCGGCGGTTCGAATCCCCGCGATGGGGTGAGCTCCCGTTGCTCGGTCCCTGCTCCTGCCAACCTAGCACTTTGAAAGAACGTCAAAGTGCAAGTAGATAAATAGGTACTGCTCCGGCGGGAAGGTAAACGGCATTTCCGTGCGCTGCTCTGGTTTGTCAGAAGCGGCTTAGTCATGCTGGCCACATGACCCGGAAGCTGCATGCCGGCTCCCTCGGCCAATAAAGTGAGATGAGCGCCGCAACCCCAGAGTCAGTCACGACTGGACCTAATGGTCAGGGGTCCCTTTACCTTTACCTTTACTGATGTATAACGAAGGCACCAGGCAAAGCTCCCTGGGGAGAACCTTCCACAAATGGGGAACTACTGCAGAAAAGGCCCATTTTTGTCTTGCCACCCTCTCATGGAGGAGGCATATGAAGAATGGCCTCAGATGATGAACACAGAGTCTTTGTCAGGTCATGTGGAGAGAGGCAGCCCTTGAGGTATTGCGGTGGTCCTGAGCCGTTTTAAGACTTTATAGGTGAAAAACAGACTTTATACGTATAAAAATGCCAGTTTTTTGTATGCAGAATAGCGAAAAGGACATCTTTCCTTTGCCTTAGGTAGCAAAACCTATTCAATCAGTGGTATGTTGAACCCTGAGACTACGCAGTACAGAGTTCTGGAGAAGACCTGGAACGAGAACATTGCAGTAATTCAAAACAACTCTTCTCTTTGGCATAGACTTGCCCAGTCATTAAAACAGACTTTTTTATCTGGCTTTGATGTGGGCATTGGAACCCAGCCTGTTTTGATTTGGCCTTGACAGATTAGCTTCCCAGTGTCTTCCAATGTTCTGTCCAAGTAGGACTGGCATGTACTATTGACAGTGTCCACTGCCCTTTGGACAACGAAAAGGCCCACAGTGTGTTGGTAAGGGTGATGTGATTTCCATGGAACAATAAACCTTAAATGCTATATTATTATGCACATGTATCTGTGGCCTTTTAAACTGTGTGTGTGTGTGAGAGAGAGATTTTGTTTGTTACTACGGTATATTATTTTTGTGTTTTTACATTGTAAATTACCCTCTGATTATCGTATGAAGAGCAAGATAGTAATGTAATCAGTAATAGTAATACTGTATCTTTCCCCTTTTTTCTTTTTTAAACTGAAAGCAGCCTCTTGGGTTTCGGCAGCTGTTTAACTCTTTCTTTTTTGGGCTTCTTTTGTGCTCAGAATTCACCTTCCTGCTTTTCACCTCCTGCAGGGACATCTGCTTCTTCTGCCCTGCAGGGCCAAAAGCAATTCTGTGATCTTGTTTGTATTTGAAAGAGGCGAGGAGGGGGAATGGTTCAGAAGGGAAGGAGCAAGCCACCCCTCCGTACTCCATTCTTCCATGGAAACTCAAAAGCCACACTGGCTGCTTCAACTTGAAAGGAGACCAGAGGAAGCAGACATAGTGCTGCATGAAATGTCCATTGTGGCCCTAAGTTCTCAGGTGTTTGAATTCTGCTTCCTCATTCTGAAAACAGTTTTGAGTTAAAGCAACATTTTAAATGGCATTTTTACTATGCTAGCGATGTCATAACTGCAGGGAATCTCTTGAGTAAATCTGTGCTCCAGGGCCTGCTAATAAAGGCGGTAGGTATGTTTATTGAGGACATCTGTTTTGGCCAGCTAGAATGCAGATGGTCAAGACAAATCACTGGGACATCCTTCTCACTACCTAGAGGTCATTGAAGCTTGGCTAGATATTTGATAGGACATCCTGCTGTCTTAACTAGGCTTCTAATGAATGCTCTCAGTCTTTTCTGTTCTCTGTAAGCTTCTGCTCTGGAGTATTTATGAGCTTGATGCCCTCCCCCACTGGCACAGTTATCATATTCATAGATATATATTCCTGACTGTAAATAGCTAGGGTTGCCAACAGTTTTCCTGTTAGGTCTTTCACGCCTTTAATGGATGTGTTAAGGGCAGGCATTCAACAGCAGAATCACAGCTCATCATGGAGGTGCCGTGACTTAAGAGTAGATTGGCCAGGAAGCCATGAACTCCCTAAGTGGCCATTTAGTCAATAAAATACAATAGAATAAAAAATAAACAATAGAAATACAGTTAAAAATTAATATGAAAGTTTAATATTTGACTTCCTTTAGTAACGTATTCTTTTGAAATGTTTTAAGATATAGATGTATTTGTTAACTCGGTTGCGTTAAATGTGCACCCTGTAGCTGACCTCTTTTGTAATGTTTTATTTTGAAATATTTAAGATAATATTTTATTTCCATGTTAATTATGTTGCTTTGAAGATATACTTTGTATCTGACTTTCTTCAGTAATGCTTTATTTGATGTTTTAGCGTGTTGTGAA